AAGACAGAATCTAAAGATCTCTGTCAATATCTATCCAAACTATGTTTCCCTAGAGTCTTTGGAGAAGCCCCAAAAGTTACAGTGGTATAAAATCAATGTACATTGTCCTGTAAAATGATTCCCTCCTTCCCTATATGATCTCCCACACAGATGTTTTCTTCCACACAACTGGGCAGTTTAGAGACAGGAGGAAAGCCTTCTCTTGCTTCTGTTCCCTTTTATTGCAGAAAAAGCATCAGGGACACGAGGAAGGAGAAAGAGGAATGAATGAATTCTTCTGGGTTTTTTTGAGAGGTTATATAGACTATTCAGATTTTGAATTAGTACTAAGTTTATTTTCCGAAGCAAGGATGATTATTGCAATAAACTGGGGAAAGCCAGAAACATCAACTATCAGTGAGCAGTTTAACAAGATTTGGCTTATTGCACTGTTAATCTAAATTAACATACTATCGAATTAAATTAATATACTATCAAAGGGCTTGTAGGGGCAACTTTATGGAACCTGATTTATTTATTAAACATTGGATATTATTCTTTTCTTTCCTTTTTTTGAATGAAAAAATATAAGATACACCCATTGACTTATTATGATTTCTTGTAAAAGTACTGGGGAATTTTTTTGTGTATGGATATGCGTGAGTATGTGTACCGCATATGTTTGTATTGAAATAATAATATTTTAACACCTTGCATTTGTATTTTATCTGTTGTGTTTTAAATGATTGTATGATTTTAACCGTATTATGTTTGTATGGAAGCTGCCCTGAGCCTACTTTGTGAGGAGGGTGGGGTATAAAGGTAAAAAGGTAAAGGTTCCCTTTGGGGTATAAAACGGATAAATAAATAAATAAAAATTAAACGCCCTGATACAATTATCATTGTTAGTTTGTCTTTATTACTTTATATTAGGAGCCTGCAACCTATGGTTCTAGAGTCAAACGTGGCTCAGTATGAAACCAAATATGGATGTTTTGACAAGAAAACCGAAGCTTTAAGTTAAAGTACATGGGAAGGCTGGGTGGGCTCGGACAAGGAAGAAACGCGAGAAGAAAAGACTCTGAAACGAAGATTATGCAGTTTTTGTTAAAATGATATCTAAAGCTAATTTTTATTCCTAAACTTTTATTTGTAATACTATCTTTATATTAGTAGGTGATATAGTTAAATATTCATGTCATCCAGATGGTGTCCACTGTTAGCTCCACTCCTCCATTTCCTAGCAGAATTGTAGTTTATTAGTGTTCCACTCCCCCCACTCTAGTAGTTTGAATGTTGTAGTAATGGAAAAACAATAAAATCTTTATTTTTTAAAAAAAGGAAGGCTGGGTGGGGTGCTAGAGAAGGCAGTACGTAAAGGGAATGGCAAGTGAAGATATTGTATGGGATTTAAGAGCTTCTTAAGAGGTGGTGTACAGAAAGGGAAAAGAGAGAGGTGAACCGCTGCCAGTGAGCCATGCACAGATTTATGCCCGTGCACCAAAAGAATTGCACAGCGTGCTCCTCTATGTATTTATTACACATTGTCTGTGCCACTTCCTAGTGAAGGACTCACAACAATCAATATTTGGGGTGCAAAAACTTTATGGATGATTAGTCAATCTGTCAATCATCAGTAATGTTAAGTTGTATATTTTCAGTCATGTTGATAAGCATTCTTATACTGGCTCTTTGCCGATCCCCTTGCTCTGAATTTTGATATCGTTTGACCCACTACTTGTAAAAAGTTTCAGGCCACCAATTATATAGAAGAAGAAGAAGAGATTTGATTTATACCCCGCCCTTCACTTGGAGTCTCAGAGCGGCTTACAAACTCCTCTCCCTTCCCCTCCCCACAACAGACACCCTGTGAGGTGGGTGGGGCTGAGAGAACTCTGACACAAACTGCTCTTTTTCAAGGACAGCTGTGCCAGAGCTTGTGACTGACCCAAGGTCACATCAGCAGGTGCAAGTGGAGGAGTGGGGAATCAAACCCGGTTCTCCCAGATTAGAGTCCGCACACTTAACCATTACACCAAACTGGCTCTCTTTCTTGATATAGCATTCTTGATATAGCATCGTTGATGCACGAGATCTTTCACGGAGCATAAAACGGTCTTCCGAGCCGAGGTGCCTGCACCAAGACCTTACAATCTAAACTTTGATTGGGGTTTGGGGGGGAGAAAGGAAGGCTGAAAATGAAGGAACAACAGTAATGGGGAGGAATAAATAAGAAACTGCACAGCACATCAGATACATTTCTGTGCTTTGAGTCTTGCCTTTAAAAATGAGGTACCTGTGGTTGTGGAAAGTGCCCTTACGTTGCAGCCACCGAATGGTGACCCCGTAGGGTTTCCAAGGCAAGAGATGAACAGAGGTGGTTTGCCATTCCCTGCCTCTGTGTAGAAGCCCTGGGCTTCCTTGGTGGTCTCCCATCCAACTACTAACCAGGGTCATTTCTGCTTACCTTCCAAGATCAGGTTAGCCTGGACCATCCAGGTCAGGGATCCGGGTTACCTAAATATGGGGACTTCTGATGATTTTTTTATATACGTTCCTGCAGTACAGCCAATGGTAAGTGGGAATGACAGGTCTGAAATGGCCATGAAAACCTCAGCCTCCCCACACTGTGACACTTTTATATCGACAGTCTTTAAGTTTATCATGGCATTCATCAGCTCTCAGTTTGGACAGGAGTTTTTAAAGCACCCCTTTTCCTCTCAGCATCAAGCACCAGTTCGTAGGTACTGATATTTTGAAGGAGATCAGCGGCAGTTTTGAACTTTAAACAGAACCTTAAACTGACTTTTAAGTATTACAGTGCCAAGATTTTGCTATCACAGTCAGGGACCAATGACAAGAGGCGTCGTCAGTTATCTGGTCTCCAAACGTTGCATTTCCATTACGCATACGCTCTTGAGTATCGAAGGCTGCAATCTTGTGCACACTTATGGGGAAGTGAGTGCTGTTGAAATTTGTGTAACTTACTTCCAAGCAGATATGCATAGGGTCAAGCTGCCGCCTTTTACTTATGCACCCACTAACGAATCCAGTGGTTTAAGCAAATGCATTATGTATGAAACTGAATTATTCAGAAAAACATTTTTATAAAGGGAATAGGGCTGTAGTAAACAGAATAGGGTGCGTCATAAAAGGAACAAAAAGGGTTGTAGGGTTTTGTACTGTTATTGTACAATTGTCCTGTTTGTACTGAATAGTTCTCTGATTTTTTGTAATGTGTTGCATTGTTTATGGTGTATCTTATACTGCTTTTCTTTATTGCATTGGTTTTCTAATTTTGTAACCCACTCTGAGTCTCAGCAAGAAAGGCAGACTGTAAATAAATTTCCTGATCAGGATAGCCAAGGAAAGCCTGATTTTGTCAAATCTTGGAAGCTAAGCAGGGTTGGTCCTGGTTAGTATTTAGATGGGAAACCGCCAGGGTTGCAGTGCAGAGGCAGGCAATGGCAAACGGCCTCCGAACGTCTCTTGCCTTGAAAACCCCATTGGGGTCACCATAAGTCAGCTGTGACTCAATGGCAAAAGAGTAAATAAATAACTATACTGCTTATTCATTTATTGCACTTTGATCCCACCCTTCTTGTGAGGAGCTCCCACGAGGCGGGTTAGCCTGCAAGAGGGTGATGGGCTCAGTTAGCTTCATGGCAGAATGGGGATTTGAATCTCTCTCTTTCTGGTTCAAGGAGCTGCGGTAGCTCAAGTGGTTAAGACGCTGAACTGCAGGCTGTGGAAGGTCAGTAGTTCAGCAGTTCGAGACCCGGGTTGCCGCATGACCGAGTGAGCTCCCGTCTCTAGTTCCAGCTCCTGCCAGTTCGAAAGCAAGAAATTGCAAGTAGATAAATAGGTACCACTTCGGTGGGAAGGTAACAGCCTTCCGTGCACCTTGGTGTTTAGTCATGCTGGCCACATGACCACGGAAACGTCTTTGGACAGCGCTGGCTCTTCGGCTTTGAAACGGAGATGAGCACTGCAACCCTAGAGTCGGACTCGACTGGCTTTTGAGCAAGGGAACCTTTACCTTTACCTTTTACTCTCTGGTTCTAGCCTAACTATGACAACACAGTGGCCATTACATCACACAACTTGTAGGATGTCAGGGAGCATGAACAGCACTTCAGAGACACCCTTTGAGCACTCTCACGATCACGTCTAGTTATGTGATCACTTGTGCAGTGGCAATCACTAATTATGGGATTTTTTGACTGATGCATCCAGGGATACATAATTAGCAGCTAATTGCACCGCATTTACTTTTTACACTGGTGAATCAAGGCCAAAATGTCACAACCCCACCTTAGTTCAAGAAGAGATGGGAGAACAGATATGAATATTTTTTTAAAAAAAATCTGAATTATTTAGCCAGAAATCCTGTATTTTTTCCCTAGAATAATTTACAAAAAGCCATTGAGTCCAGTAGCACGTTAAAGACCAACAAGACTTCAAGGCTATAGGCTGTTTTGAGAGTCAAAGCGCCCTTCGCCAGGTACTGTATCTGACAAAGGGAGCTCTGAGTTTCAAAAACCTACACCCTGGAAATCGTGTTGGTCTTTAAAGTGCTGCCGGACTTAAGTCTTGCTCTCCTACTGCAGACCGATGCGGCTGCCCACCTGAAACTTTACAAAGGCCTTGACTTCTTAGCAAGAATATGCAATCTGTGCAGTTGCACAGAGGTCCCCCCCCCGCCACACAAAAGAGTCCCGTGGAACTAAAACATGTGCAACAACACCCATTTCACTTGTTTATATCAAACAGAATACTTTGCCTGGACAGTCAGTCAAGTTCAAGTTCAAAACCTTTATTGGCATAGATCATAATCATACAGTCGCCATTCATGGATTTGACACACAGCTTCCTCATTATAAGGCAGTTACAGAGCTTGGCAACCGCTTCAATAACCGCTATATTCTGACAGACAGTCAAACACAGAAAGCGAGGGCGGGGGAACAGCAAAGGCCCCCTTTATCTCCGTTGCAAGACAAAGGTGTTCCTCTGGTCCTTACCTTGGCCTGGGATGCCCTTCTGGGCCGGTGATGTAACGGAAGGCTGCTGTGGATAGAGAGCCACTGTCCATTCTCCCGCTGATCCTTCTCTCTCTGGGGCCACGGCATCCGTCTGCCCAGGTGCCATCGCCCTCTGTGCCGGCGGCTCGTCTGTTTCTGCCGTGGTCCAAGCTGTGTGTGCCGGGTCTACAGGGAGTTGTGAAACAGTCTGACTCTGTCTGTGCACTCAGCCTGACGGCTGCGCCTGCAAGAGCCGAGGCTGCTTTGGCCAGTTCTAATCTTTCCCACTGTGAGGAGAAGGCAACATGTGTCACAGGCTCAGACACAAGCCGGGCAGGCTTCCAAAGAGAGGCAGCAGGGGAGGGCGGCGAGGTGCTGGCAACAATGCAGTGTGCCTGTGCTGACTCCAGGCCTTTAACCTGTAGGCAAGACGGGGGACTAAAGGGGATTTTGGCCCCAGATGGAGAGGTGAGAATTCAGGTATCATGGAGGCAGAAAGACAGACATGGGAATAATAAAAAAAATACACAATTGAGGTAATACCAATGAGAAGAGAGTCAGGCTCATGGTGAGTTCCAAGAGGCATGTGCCTCATTAACGCAGGGGTCACAAAATGCTCCCTTGGCAAAGGACTCACTTTGGATGCAAAAGATCTTAAGGTTGATCCTTGGCATTTCAGATGAAAGGATGGGAGGGTTAGAAAAAGGGCTCTGCCTGTATATGTGTGTTAAGTGCTGTCAAGTTGCGTCTGACTTATGGCTACCTTATGCATTAATGACCTCCAAGAGGTCCTATCATTAACAGTCTGGCTCGGGTCTTGCAAACTGGAGGCTGTGGTTTCCTTGACTGGTCAATCCATCTCAGGTCGGGTCATCCACTTTTCCTGCTACTTTCCCTCTTGTCTTTTCCAGTGACTCTTGTCTTCTCATAATGTGACCAAAGAGCTCCGGCTAAGACCTTAATTTTTATCGATGAATTGACTGGCCAGATGGAGCAATGGTATGACCCAGTATAAGGCAGCTTCCCAGAACTGCCACATCATGGGACGGTTCGCATGCAATTTGCTGCCCATTTGATGTTTGCCGAACTTGTCAAATTCATTTGCTGCTGATGGGTTTGCTCCTAGATTGCATTATTATTGCAATGGCTATTTTAAGTTGGGTTTAGGATTTCCACGGGCTTCCCTTTTGCAAGGTTATCCTTACTGTCATTTAGAAAGCTGCTTTTGAGTCTTTTTCCCATCCTTTCTTTCTCCTTGTTTATTTTTGCCTGTGGAAGCCACCTTGTGTATTTTTTTTTTTACAATCAAAAGGCAGAAGTATCAACCCACTCAATAAATACCTTAAATAAATGAGCCACAGCCAGCAGAGATCAAACAGATTTATCACATCATGTGACCACCACCATATATGCAATGCTTTCAGTGAGAGCAATTTGCACATTCCGCCCCTGAGTCATCCAGTGACAGAGAGATTAGGTACTGATTGATATACTGGCATGTGTGAATCTACCCCAAGCCAAGAGAAATGAGGTTCAAATTCCTGGACATTTTCTTACGGTTGCTGTAATTGTTATTATTAGGTGCTTTTGATACTGCAATTACATGGCCTTTCTATAAATGGAAATAATGGTGACCCACAGCAGTGGCCCCGTGGCACTCCTAGGACACGCTGTCAAGTCAAATTGAGGATGGCACAACTTCACTCACCTATCCATTGAGATTCCAGTGCTTTTAAAAAGTGTGCAAAGTGTCCTGGGTCCTGGCTCTGCTGAGGCTGACTACTCCTCAGATGAGGAAGAGGCAGGGAGCAACCCAGCCTCCTCTGGAGTTAGCCCAGCAGAGGAACCCTTAACAGCACCTGAGGGAGAAGAGGCCCCAGCAGCTGAACAGGAGGTAGGGTGGCCAAGTCGCGGCGGGGGATTGTATGTCTTCGCAGAATCCGTGCCGCGGGGACGACGAGACGCGTTGCACCCGCCATTGCCAGGATTTGATGCTACACGTCGCTCTGGCAACGGGGCTGTTTGGAGCCCCGTTGCCAGAGTGACACGTAGCATCATGTCCTGACGATGGTGGTGCAACACATCTCGCCGTCCCCGCAGCATGGATTATGCGAAGACATGCGGATCCCCCGCCGCGATTTTGCAAGATGTGGTAAGTCTAATAGGAGGTGTAGCCAGAAGGAGAGACTGATCCAGAGTCTGGCCCAGCACCCCCAGTTGAAGACACCCCGAGGCCAGAATCCCCACCTAGTTCTCCTGAGTGCCCCAGACACAGGGCATGCCAGAGGCTTAATATGCAAGAGTGAAGGAAGAGTGCCAGGCTGCAGCTCTTGCAAAAGCAATGGGAGGAGCTGTGAGTCTTGGCAGATTGACTCCCAGGGAAGGGAGGACTTGTTCATAAACACCTGCCTCAGTGCGGTAGCAGCTGTGCAAGCTCAGATCTGCTCCTGGCTTGTAGCAACTGATCCTTGCTCCTGCAACCTTGGACTGATTTCCCGGCCCTCTGACCCTTGGCTCTGTTATTTGACTTGATTCTGGACTGCGTCTCCAGCTTCCAGTGTGTGGTAACCAGCTGAGCCAGTACACACACCTTTCTCTAGCTGCCTTCAGATCTGCCTCAGTTTCCCCAGGGAATGTAGTAACAATCCCTTCAACTGGGGACCTTTCAGAAACAGGTAAGAAATGTTTAGGAGTTGACTCTGTAGAGAGAAGTCATTTATCGGTTCAAATAATATAGCAGATTTGGCTCAGTAAAAGTGATTCTGCCCCAAACATGATTTAAGTGGGATGTTTGGGCTATCCAATTTAAGGGGGGCACAGTGAGTTTATCTCCCTCCCCCACCCCAGTTTACAGCCTTCCCTCTGCACACTCTGGGTGATTCTGCATCTAGCATTCACTCCACATTTTCTCAACTGGGAGGAAAAGGTGCAGCTCAAAACCACATTCAAATACCTCGGGGCAATGCCGTACTGACTGCAAAGTCACCCCTGAACAGCCATAAATCTATGCAGAAGGTACCATAAAACCTGCTGATCAAAGAAAATGAAAGTGGCATGCAGTGTAGAGGGTACCATAAAATCTGATGCTCAAAGAAAGTGGAAACAGAATGTAATGCAGAGGGGAATTTCTGTTCCAAGGTGGGTTTGGTAAAACAACAAAGGGAAAAGCCAATGCAGAATCACCATCTGACCCCCAGTATCATTTTCCCCTCAGTTGTGCACCAGTTCTGAAAGTGAAGCCAGGTAGAACAGAAGCCTACTGGGGACGACTTGTAAGGGATCCCTCACTTTGTGCATAGTTCATATGTGACAGGGGCAGACCGACATTTTAAATGGCAGGACTGATGCTGTCAGATCTAGTCTGGCCGCTGGTTACTACTGTCCCTTAATTCAACAGCCTTTACATGACGCAGCACTTGGGTTTCAAATTCAATGATTCAGTTATTATGTATGAGAAGCTGTATCATTTTGACTTCACTACAGGCAAAGCCAGTTCACTGAGCTTTCAGTAGAATCCAGTCGTGTACGGCATGGCACTGCTGGGTGGCTGCCCGTGACATCACCAAGGCACAGTGGCCAAAGCAGTTTCGTAATTCTTTTAAAAATGTGTTTGGGAAAGAAAAACAAATATGAAAAACGTTTTTAAAAATAAACAGTAGGGTTTTTGTTGTTGTTCAGTCGCACAGTCGAGTCCGACTCTTTGCGACCCTATGGACCACATAATGCCAGGCCTTCCTGTCTTTCGTCGTGCTCCGGAGTTTGCTTAATTTCATGTTCGTTGCATCTATGACACTGTCTAACCATCTCATCCTTTGCCGTCCCCGTCTTTTTTGACCTTCAGTCTTTCCCAGCATCAGGGTCTTCTCCAGGGAGTGCTCCCTTCTCATTTGGTGGCCAAAGTATTTGAGCTTCAGTTTCATTATCTGGCCTTCCAGGGAACAGTCAGGGTTGATTTCTTTTAGGATTGACTGATTTGATCTTCTTGCAGTCCAAGGGACTCTCAAGACTCAGTAGGGTTGCCAAACTCCAAACAGTGGCTAGAGATCCCCTGGGATTACAACTGATCTCCAGGTTCACCTGGAGCAAATAGCCACCTTGGAACAAAGGTGGACTCTGTGGCATTATACCCTGTTGAAGTCTCTCCCCTCCCCAAACCCCATCTTCCTCAGGTCCTTCCCCAAAATCTCCAGGTATTTCCCAACCTGGAGTTGGCAACCCTGATACACAGCCCACCTCAAACATGGTGGGAGGGACTAGACAGATAACAGAACCTATTCATTGGTATATATATGCCATTTGCATTACAAAGGCAGAAAGAAGCCAGGTACATCTCACAGGGTGGGGTGGGGAACTATTGCAGCTCTTATTTTAATGCTCAGTGTAATGATACCCTAGGTTGCCTTTGTTGAGCCACTCAGTTCTCTCAGAATTGTTCCCATCCCCAATCTTCAGTTTATTGATTTATTTTCCTATTTATTTTGCCATCGAGTTACAGCAACCCTGTGGGGTTTTCAAGGCAAGAGATGTTCAGAGGTGGTTTGCCACTGCTTTACTCCACATCAGTGCCCTGGTATTCCTTGGCAGTCTCCCTTCCAAATACTGACCAGGGCTGACCCTGCTTAGTTTCCAAGATCTGATGAGATCACGCTAGCTTGGGCGATCCAGGCGATCCGTACGGGACCATTTATGCTGATCTTATTTATACAGTCAAGGGAAGTACCTGTAACATACATTCTGTACTTTGAATAGCTGAAATGTGCTAAATAAATTCTCGGCACGTTATTAAGGATTGACTGGCTCATTATATCTTTAATATTTAAGTCCGACTCTAAGCCTTTAACAGTAAGGGTGATTCTAGACTGTGAACTTCGCCATCTTCAAATGTGCCAGACCACCACACGCACATTCAATCTGCACAGGCATTCTGGTCCACTTTTCAGCTGGGGTGACATTGAAATGAGTCATGTGGTTGGGTGGGCAATACTTTCCCCCCTCCAACTAAATCTACACTCAGGACTCAGGTGACCACTCCTCACTTGCATGGCCATTTAAATGTTAACCCCAGCTGAATGGGAACTACTCAGAAAAGCAGATCACACACAGCTAAGGTGAGATGCACAGATCTGCAGAATGATGGTTACAGGTGCAAGCAGAATGAACGCCCGCTTCACACCTGCCATGGCACAAAACCATCAATGGTAACTGGGCATCTTCACAGAAGCTGGTACTTTTTTG